TTTTTCCCTCCTTAATGTTCTCCTCGTCACCCGTAAGCGCCTGCATTTATCCCAAAAGCACATCATGCTTGAAGCCTGATAGCACATTACAAGGGGACACCCCCCCCCATATCTTCTGGGGATTGCTTCCAATCCCCCCCTCCCTCTGGATAATAAGAAACTAGCACTCTAGAGCGGGACTCCCTTCCAGCAAGAGCTCCGAACACTCTCAGGCGCCTTCCATTTCACACACAAGCGCACACACCCCCGCGCGCTGGGTCACGTGACGGGGAGCGGACACCGCCTCCGCCGCCGCACAGCAGCGTGTCCCTCGCCGGCCGCCGTCGATTCCTCCCTCCAACGCTGACCAGGCGGACGTCAGTGCGTAGGTGTGCGCATGCGCGTTCCTGTGAGGCAACTGAGAGCCTTTTTTCGTCCGGCGCTCTTCTCCCCGCCTCCCTTCCCTCCCTCCCTCCCCGGAGTCATGGCGGCGGAGCAGGAGGCCTTGAAGGGCGGCGGCGGCGGCGGCGGTGGTGGGGCAGCGGGCGCGGGTGCTGGGGGTGCCAACAGCGGCCGGAACCGGGGCGGCGTCCAGCGGGTGGAAGGCAAGCTCCGCGCCAGTGTGGAGAAAGGCGACTATTATGAGGCGCACCAGATGTACCGGACCCTCTTCTTCAGGTAGTCCCTCAGAGAAAGGAAAGGGGGGGGAGGGGAATCTCGTTGGCCCTCCTCTTCCACCTCAGGCCCGGTAGAAGGACCCCTCCTCAACCGCCAACCCCACCCCGTGTCATTGGCTGAGCTCCTTGCCCGTCTCTCGCCTCCGGGCCCCGATTGGTCCAGGAAAAGAGGGAAGGGATCCTCGAGGAGGTCCAGAGGTTGTGGGGAGAGAGAGAAATAAGGTGCGAGGCTCTTGGAGTGGCCAGAGGGGAAGGGTTGTGGAGCTGCCTGGTCTTCCCAGGGTTTGTGGGTGAGTGAGGCCGTGGTGTGGGCAGGAGGAAGAGGGGGAGAAGGATCCCGAGTGGCCCTTTGAGAGGGGAAGAGGAAGGCAAGCTCAGGTAGATCAAGGAAGAACAAACGGGGGGAGGGGAAACATACGAGGAGGACATGTGGTAGGGGGGGAAGCGATGGAGATGCTGACCTGCAAAGTGCTGGCAGTGGTCCCAGACCTTGGGCCCCCAGATGTTCTTCGACTACAGCTCCCAGAAGCCTTCGCTGCCAGCCCTTCTGGGCAGGATTTCTGGGAGTTGCGGTCCAAGAGCACCTGGGTGGGAACCACTCACTGCTCTAGAAGGTGAGCTGCTTTCTGCCTGCAGATGCTCTTGGACCACCACTGCTGGAAATCCTGGCCAACACAACTAGTGATAAAGGCTTCTGGGAGTTGTAGTCCAAGAACATCTGGGGGCCCAAGGTCGGGGACCACTGCTCTCTACACTCTGGGCCGTCTG